GCGTGCATTAAAACCACTAGGAGCACAGTGGTTAAAGAGGTTGGCTGCTAACCAAAAGGTTGGCAGTTTAAGCGCACTAGCTGCTCCACAGGAAAAAGATACGGCAGTCTGCTTCCCTAAAGATTTACAGTATTGGAAATCCTATAGGGTCACTATGTTGTTGTTGTTAGGTACCATCCAGTTGGTACTGACCCATAGCGACCTTATGCACAGCAGAATGAAACACTGTCCAATCCTGGGCCAACCTCACTACCGTTGCCACGCTTGAGTCCATCGATGCTGCCACTTGGTCAATCCATCTCCTTGGAAGTCTTCCTCTTTTTCTCTGACCCTCCACCTTACCAAACATGATATCCTTCTCCAGTGACTGCTTCCTCCTGACAATATGTCCAAAGTATGAGAGACGAAGTTTGGCCATCTTGGCCTCCAAGGAGCACTCTGGCTGCACTTATTCCAAAACGGATCTATTGGTTCTTTTGGCAGCCCATCGCACTTTCAATATTCTTCTCCAACACCATAACTCAAAAGAATCAATTCTTCTATGGTCTTCCGTGAGTCTTATTAAAATGAAGATTGATATGGGGCCCAAGATTCTTTATTTCTAACAAATTTGCAATGCTGCTGGTCTGTGGACCCTATTATCTGTAGTAAGGGGGTATATGTTTTGTACCTTAAAGAAGGGCGATCCTAACTTCTAAGAGGGTCCAAAGGAGGGAGACAAGCTGTTCAGGTTAGTTCAGACTCTAGTCAATGAGATAGAATTGCATCATGGCTAAAAGCCTGAATGTTTAGGTAACAATAGTTTGGTTCAAATCTTGGATCTGCCATTAATTAGTTATGTGGTCTTAGATAGTAGCTTTACTTCTGAGTCGGGTTCCTATCTGTAAAATGGGGTTGATGATACCTAAGAATTTTAAATGCATGAAAAACATTTAGCACAGTTCCTGGTGCATAGCAATTACTCAAGAAATTGTAGTTATTAACAATTGTTATTATTATTAGAGAAGTAATGGCAAAGGAGGAAACTAGGTTTCTAGAATACTTCAGCAGGAAGGTAAGAGCGTGAATTTCAAACACCTGGATTATTATCATTACACTACATATCTTGATCCAGTACAAATGCTATTTAGTCTCCTTTTTATATCAAATCATTATAGAATTTGAGACATAGTAAGGGTCTTCAAGAAAGAGCCCTGGTGGTTCAGGTTAAGCACTTGGATGCGAACTGAAAGGGTGGTGGTTGGAACCTACCAATTGCTTTGTGGGAGAGAATGTGGCCATCTGCTCTGTAAAGATTTCCAGCCTTAAATACCCAATGGAGCAGTTCTGCTCTGTCACTATGAGTTTGAATCAACTCGATGGCAATGGGAAGGGTCTTTAATGACAATGTAATCTGGTAATTTGCCAAATTTCAGTTACCAGTAAATTGCTGATATGCTGTACTTAGATTTTTTAATGCTTCTAATAGATTTATGTTGTTCTGTTAAATAAATTTACCTTCTTCTAAATAGTAATATTGATGAAATTGTATCCATAAAAATAAGAAGATAAAAGTTTGCTCAATACTATCTAGAACCCTCTTGAGTGTTGTAGTGTGCAAATTTTGGAAATGCTGATCTTGTCTAGCTTAATGCCCATTCCTCAGTCAGGACTCTAAGGAGGGAAGGGAGTGACTGTCCCAAGGACCCAGTGAGCTGGATTCACCTCTTCTTCCAAAGACACTTCCCTGGGTGCCCAAGTTCCTTCTTCCTAGAGTTGTATAAAGAATGTCTAAGTCTGTGAACTCGAGTATGAGAAAGTCCTCAGGCTAGCCAAAAGCATCTTGAAGAAGAGTGCCAAGGGAACATGGGCCAAGAAAATGTATATATACAGTGCCAAAAGTTCTCTCTGCACTGGCAGATGCCTTGAAATAAATCCAGCTGATATCAAAACCAGAGCTAGTTTAGAAAGTGTAACCTTGAATCCAGCCAAACCGGCTCTGGGGAGTTTCTGATTTAAAGTATCAAGTTGTGTTTTAACCTTGAATCTTGTTGAAAGAGCTGGGGATTTGGGGTCTAGCCTCTGCCACGTCTTGGCTGAATTAGTGGAGGGAGCACTGTAGCCTGCTAGTTAGGACACACTCTAGTCAGCCCTGAGTCCCACTGGTAGTTTTTCAGTTATCAAAAGGGATAGCACCACTTGATCCAAAGGGGTAACAAGAGGTTTTACTAAAATAATGTACATAGACTAGTGTTGTCAAAGCTTGACACTGGAATGTTGATTATCACTATTACTGTTAAATGAACTGTTTCAACTTGGGTTCCCTTGGCTAGTCTCTGATTTCCCCAATTGCCTTGTTTTCTACTTCTGAGGTATTTACAAAGACCTTTAAAGGTGTGGTTTGCCTTCCCCTTTTTGCAGACTCAGAAGTAGAAGGCCGGACTAGTAGTCCTCGACTTACGATGGCGTTTCATCAGAGGACTCCATCGTAGGTTGTCTCTGCTGTCAGTAGAATACTTTTTTTCATTATTATTGCTTTTTAGCTCTGGTAGCATAGTGGTTACGAATCGGGCTGCGAACCTCAAGGACAGCAGTTCAAAACTATCAGCTGTTCCGCAGGAGAAAGATGAGGCTTTCTGCTCCCGTAAAGATTTACAGCTTTGGAAACCCTGTGTGCAGGGTCGCTGAGTCGGAACTGACTCCATGGCACATAACAACAACAACAACAGCAACATCTGTATACATCTGATCTTTGAACATCTGTGAGTGAATATCTGAGGATAACATTAGCATATCACATGATCAAGAAAAGATGTACAGAAAAAACACACAAATAGATGGTCATAAGTGTGGCTTGTTGTAGCTCGAATATGTCAAAAGTCGGGGACTACCCATAACTCCTCATAACTCCTGAAAGGATTCGCAGAACCTTCTCCCTCTGCTCTGTTCTTGTCATCACTGCGGTTTGCCTTCTGGCCTTTCTCTTCCCTGTTGTTGTTAAATGCATTGAATTCCAACTTATAATGACCCTATATAGGGTTTCCAGAGAACAGCTGGTCACTATCACTCTCTGAACCTGTTTCTTTATTTGTAAAATGGGGATAGTGAAGGTCGAACATATGGAAAAGCTAACACTGTCTTGTCCCTAATTTGTGGCAGGTGTTTGGTTGGGAGTTAATGTACCAATTATTGCCTGGCCCCAGGAAATTTATCAGCGTTAGTTTTGTTGGTAGCCTAGTGGTTATGAATCAGGCTACTAACCTCAAGGTCAGCAGTTCGAAACTACCAGCTTTTCCACAGGAGAAAGATGAGGCTTTCCGCTCCTGTAAAGATTTACAGCCTCGGAAACCCTGTACGGACTCCACAGCACATCACCACCATCACCACCGCCACCGCCACCACCACTGTTGGCTCTTATAGAGCATTTCTGTCCTTTTTCTGGCAGTTATTTCTTATTTCTTAGTAGGAGCCCAGGCCTTATGAAATTGGCTTATTTTCATAATTTTTCATTTCAGGCCTCCAAGTTTCATTTACTTCACAGTTTAAAAAATGGCAGGTGCTTGCTCTTAGAAGTTATTTAAAAGCCTGAACTTAGTCCTAGATGGCTTCAATGACCCCCCCACTCTCTTAGCTTCCCTGCCTCACTGGATGCTCCTCTGTTTCCTTTTACTGCCCCAGGGTCTCTCTTGGCCATTTTCTGGGTGGTCCCATCCTATCTCAGGATTTTACAAACCACCTTTAGGTGATGACTTCCCAGTTTATGTCTTCAGCCTAGATAGCCCTTTCCCCCCTGAGATGTGTGTCAAGGAGAATTGGATATATAAGCCCAAAACCGATCTCACCCCCTAACTGGCTCCTCCCACTCTTATCCTCCTCTCTGTATATGTTAACTTCACCTATGCACTTTGCTAAGATCAAAAACCTTGGAGTCTTTTTAACTCCTTTCTTTGCCCTATCTCTAATCTCTTATCAAATCCGTTGTCTTCAACTAAACTATATCCAGGCACCAAATACTTCTCACCCCTTTTGTCACCTGGGCAGAAGCCACTGTCAGATGATTACAGTAGCCTCCTCACTTGTTCTTCTTTCAGCCCCTCCCCTTTCATGCTGTTCTCAAGCCCGGCAGCCTGAGGAAACTTTGTATAAAAATATAAGTCTGATGTGGTCACTTTGTTGCTCAAAACTGTCTACGATTTCTTCTAACCTCTCCCCATCTCATTCATATTAAAAGCCAAAGTTCTCACTATGGTCAAGTCCCTAAACTAAGTGATTCCCCCACACCTCTTTGAGGCTTACTCTCCACTCACACAATGAGCTCTAGCCACTTTTTCTTGCCATTCCTGGAACTCAGCAGGTGAAGGGCCTTCCAGCTCCTTCTGTTCTTGGGAATTTCCCTGTAGTCTCATCTCTCACCTCTTTGTGGTCTTTTTTATGTAGCAGAAAGGTTTCCGGACAGCGCTATTGAAATTAGCATTCTTCCAACTCAGCAGCCGGTGCAGCCCCTTTTACGGAAAACAAGGATTTTCCTTTGGGTCAATACTTAATTTCTAGTGCCTTGATTCTTAATTTCTAGTGCCTTGGGCAGGGTCTGGCACATTGTACATGCTCAATAAATAGTTGTTGAATTAATAAAGAAAGCTAATCTTAGAGCAAGGAGCTCTGGTAGCGTAATAGTTACCAATCGGGCTGCTAACTTTAAAGTCAACAGTTCGAAACTACCAGTTCTGCGGGAGAAAGATGAGACTTTCTGCTCCCGTAAAGATTTGCAGCCTCGGAAACCCTGTGCAGGGTCATTATGAGTCGGAACCAACTCCACGGTCTTAACAACAACAATCTTAGAGCACCCAGTACCCACTGGCATTGTGAAATGAGCATTTCATTGAAATGCAGCGCTGATGGTGCAGATACTGTTGTTTTTACTGTTTTCCAGATGGGGAACTGAGGCTCAGAGTTTGCAGACTTGAGTTCTACGGTTCCGAGCCTATCTGTCAGGGCTGATCTGTGCCCCCCTTTTCCCACAGGTCCCGAGTGAGGCGCCTGCGCCCTCTGCCGACCCGACACGCCCACACGCGTGCACGGACTGCGGCCGCGCCTTTGCGCGCCGCTCTACGCTGGCCAAGCACGCCCGCACGCACACGGGCGAGCGGCCCTTCGCGTGCACTGAGTGCGGCCGTCGTTTCTCGCAGAAGTCGGCGCTGACTAAACACGGCCGCACACACACGGGCGAACGGCCCTACGAGTGCCCCGAGTGCGACAAGCGTTTCTCGGCAGCCTCGAACCTGCGGCAACACCGGCGGCGCCACACAGGCGAGAAACCCTACGCATGCGCACACTGCGGTCGTCGCTTCGCGCAGAGTTCTAACTACGCACAGCACCTGCGCGTGCACACGGGCGAGAAGCCGTACGCGTGCCCAGACTGCGGGCGCGCCTTTGGCGGCAGTTCGTGCCTGGCGCGCCACCGACGCACGCACACAGGCGAGCGGCCGTACGCATGCGCCGATTGTGGCACGCGCTTCGCGCAGAGTTCGGCGCTGGCCAAGCACAAGCGGGTGCACACAGGCGAGAAGCCGCATCGCTGCGCCGTGTGCGGCCGCGGTTTTGGCCACCGCTCCAACCTGGCGGAGCATGCGCGCACGCACACGGGCGAGCGGCCCTATCCTTGCACGGAGTGCGGTCGCCGTTTCCGCCTCAGCTCGCATTTCATCCGGCATCGGCGCGCGCACATGCGGCGCCGCTTGTATATCTGCGCCGGATGCGGGCGGGACTTTAAGCTTCCCGCTGGCGCCACGGCTTCTACGGCCACGGAGCGCTGCCCCGAGTGCGAGGGTAGCTGAGCCTCTCTGTTCCCGTCACCGCAGGCTGCCAGCGTCCGACGCTGAGCCCCCGACTTGGAGGCTGCATTAACTTGGGACAATCCTCCCTAGCACCGGGGCCTGGGGAAGAGTGGGACAGCCGGTCTGGCTGCTCTGAACTGAGAATCCCCGAAGGGGCCCCGGGGAACCGCCCACTTCCTCCTCACTATACCCCCTCGGCCGTAATAGTGAATAAAGTATTATATCCCTACCACCTACCCCCGTGCTTTTGAGTGAGGTGGGTGGGGAGAGAAAAATGATGGTTGGCATTTTCTCCAGGTAATTTAAATGTACTGTTATGGCGCCTGGAAGAGAAGCCCAAAGAAGTTACTGGGGTTGGGTGTGAGTGGAGGGGGGTGTCACTCACACTTGTTATCATAATCTCAAATCTGGACGGGTCCATAAATATAGCATGTTTACGATAAACAGACTGCATTTTGTAAGATTTGAACCTCACAGAACGGTCTACAGTTGGTGACAGACAGTAGTTGAAACCTTATAGCACTTCTCTAGAAACTAAGCTCTTCATTACTCATCTTCCACAGAACATCCTAAATTACATTATTTATCTTCATTTTTCACAAACATGAATGGCAGTGTAGGGACAAGGAAACTACAGTCAGTGCGTTAGAACTATGATGGGGGAAATTACTGGATAGGACGGGTCACCAATGCAATTTTGGAGTGTAGGGAAGCTTTTCACAGATATTTAAACTGGCTCTTAAAGGTCAAGAGAATCAGGGTTAGGGATGTGTGGCCGGCCTCTGAAACTGAATTTGCAGACATCCCCTGCTATGGGATGATGTGGGGATATAAACAGTGAAACTGAGGCGAGAACAGCCAGTGGCCGGTAATCTAGAGAGGAATGTGGTCAAATGTTGGGTGTCCTCTGCATTTGTTATGTGCACAGGATGAAGTGATGGGAGTAGTTTATTGGAAGGGTGGGGATGAAAGAGTGTAAGTGGGGAAATGAAGCAGTTTGGATGAGTGGTGGTGGTGGTCAATGCCGTTGGTTGAGTCAGTTCCAACTCAGAGACCCTGTAAGTTTGGACCACTGACCTTGTGGCTCAAACCGACCTTGTGGTCTAGTGCATTATCCCACTGCACCACATAGTGCAGACCACCTTTTATGAGGTAGGACTCAAAAGCATGGAGTGGTTTGGCTGTGTTGGTATGGAATAGACGGCGCGTGCTGGTGGGAAAGGCTAATGGAAAGAGACAGGTTAATGAAGGGCGAGGAAATAAAATCAGGGAACAGGAACAGGCTCCTGTTATCACAAAATGAGAGGAAATGTAGGTTTGAGAACATAAAGCTGAAACACTTACTCTAAGAATACAGGTCATTGGATGAGGTGTAAAAAAGGTACCGGGTGGCACCTGACCTCTAATTTCACAGGAATCAAATTCATCAGCCAAGACCAGTCCCTACGAAGCTGAGGTTAGACATGCTGTCACCATCCCACCCTCTGCTACTTCTCAGCTGGTTTTGATAAATGATTGGCATGGCCACCCAGAACTGAGAGACAATAATCACAATTTTGGGATTAGGGAAGTTAACTGGTTACAAATCAGGACAGCCTCTTCTCAGCCACCCCAGCAGGCAGGCAGGCCTCTGCTTTGACCCTACTCAGGCAGTTAAAGAGCCCTTTTAGCCCTGCTGATCACTGCTCATAGGACACTCAGCTTGAAGGTGCTCAGCTCTGGCTCTGTGAATCAGTAAACTTAGCTTCCTAACAAAGTGCCTGTTGGCACCCCACTCCCCAAGTGATTCTCCTGCCCAAAGGCACTCAACTATTTACTTGCTCAGTAAATACAACCCACTGATACCTCGTCCTCTGACTCTTGTTTCTATTGCTGCTGCTTCTCTTACCCTGTGTTAGGGAGATTCAATGTGCAGGGAGCTCGTGGTCCCAAGGATACACTTCATCCCTGGCTCTTCTGATGGTAGTGAGACCCCCCACTCCTTCCTGCTTCTGAGAGGACTCATTTTATAATCATATTACAATCACAACGAACCCTGTTAACAATCACTCACAGCTGAATCAGATGATCCTATCAGCAGTTCCCACTTACTCTTACTTAGACCCATCAAGAAAAAAAGTTGTTAGGTGAGAATTACAAAAACTATGGGTAGAAAAGCCATAAGAAGTAATTCACTGCACTACAAGAGGTTAAGAGGTGAAGTCAGTAAAGGGGAACAGCTCACTTTACTAATGCGGAAACAGACTCACTAGGGTTGCACATCAGTGATCCTAGGAGGCTTGAGAGCAGTCAAGGTCTTCACCCTGCATTACTTTACCCTGTGAAGGAGGCAGGTCACAGATGTCTCAGAAATGAAGTATGTACTGAGGACACACAGTGTGTACATCATACATCCCAACACTTGTCTTAAGGCCAATAAGGGGAAGATGTTTAGTGTTGGCTCTTTCAAAGGGGCCAAAGCGGGGTTGGAATTTGTTCTGCTGCACCTTAGAGACCTGGCGCTGGGATCCCAGGGAGAAGGGAGAGGGATTGATCACATAAGACTGGAGTCTTGCTGGACAAGGCAGAGGTCTGGGGGGGCCAGGCCTGCCTTAGCTGTTGGCATTTCCTATTCTGGGCACCTGAAAGTTGAATTGAAAAGACAAACAGGAGTAATAATGACAAACTCATGAAAGTATTTACTATGTACCAGGCATGTCCTATACACTCTGTGTAGTAATTTTCTTTTACCATACAACTTATATCAGGTTGATACTATTAATTTCCTTTTAAAAACGAGAAAACTAAGGTACAGAAGGATGAGTATCTAAAATGGCATTTGAACACAAAATTCCTGGCTCCAGAATGTGGGCTCTTAACGAGAACTCTCTTTTACAGGCCCAGACAGGGGAAGGCACTACAGTTTGTTAGAAACCAGGTTTCTCTGCCCTGCAGGTAGGCAGGACACTATAGGGAACCAAGGGGTTCACAGGCACCTCTCCAGCGCCTGTTGGAAACAGCCTCCCAGCTACTTCACGAAGAAACCAGAGGTAGGTGACAAAAACCTTTATTGAGGGCCCGGGACCTCAGGAAGTGCTGCCCTGTCCCCCGATCCATGAGCTGTTAGGAAAGGATGAAACAAAGGTTCTGTGACCAGCTCCTGTGATCTTCTCCTCAGATTCTGTGCAGACTTGCAGGTCCTGTGCCCGTGTCTGTATGTGGAGGCCTGGACTCCCGAGCAAGGTCTACAGGCCCCACCACCTGGTCTTCAGATGCAGCCACCTGGGGCAAGTCCGTATACTTGCAGGCAGAGCCGCGAGCCAGATGGGCTGGGTAACGTCGCCGGTTGATGTCCATTTTGGAGAGCACTGCTTGGGGCAGATCTACCTGGCAGCGGGCTGCCAATGCCACCAGATAGATGAGGACATCACTAAGCTCTTCCTGAAGGGCTGCCCTCTCCTTGGCAGGCCAGGCTTGGGGTCCAGCTTCCTCATCAGGCTTCCACTGACTGGGGCAGAACAGACAGACACACGCACCAACATACTAGCTAAGACAATGGGCTCCGCTTCTCTCAGGAGTACATTACTCTCTGAGGAATGAACTCAGTCACCTCTTTAAGAAGTTCCTTCCAAGGCAACCCAACCCAACTCTTTGGGAAGAGACCCCAACGGATGATTCACTGAAACCTCTTATCCCTTTTGGAGTCAAGGAGCAGACAAGAGAACATTTCACATGATCAGACAAAGTTGAGACCCAATTCCAAGTCTTTCCAGCCCAACCACTGTTACCCTGATCAAACCTCAGGTCTGGACTGTCTCAGAACTCATCTCTCTACTTCCCTTCCTGCACTGCACCATCTTTTTTTTTTTTTTTTTTTAAATGTTTTATTGTGGATTATGTGATACTTTCCATGGGAGAACATTAGTTTTACATTCATCGTACTGTATATCGTTTCATTGCCATGGTTACAATCCCCTCCATGCATCATTAACCAACCAAAGGATATACCCTACAAGCCTGCCCGTGCCCCCAATCATCAGCACACAGCCCCTCTCCCTCTCTGATCGCTCCATGTCATCGTCTCTGCCTCCATCTCAGGCATCACTGCTTCTCTGGGTAGGGTCCCGCTATCACTGCGCCATCTTTTAAAGGCACAAATTACATCCTGTTTCTCTCCTGCTAAACCTCCACCACGAACTGCACTTGGAATAAAATCTAAGTCCCTAATCATGCCCTCTGTCTCTTCCAATATTAACATCTAACACTCTCTGTCCTCACTCCCTACCTAAAGCCACTCTTTTCTGCCTCACAGACACACAAAGCTGTTTCAGGGCCTTTGCACTTTCTGCTCATTTACTTCGAACATCCCCTCCTCTTCAAATCTCCATGGCTAGCTTCTTCATGTTATTCAAGTCTCAGCTCAGACATCATGTCCTCAAAGTCACTTTCCTCCCTCTCGTCACCTTGTATTATTAGTTTCCCAACAGCACTCGCCACAATTCCAGACCTTTTAAAATCAATCTACTTATTGTCAGTCTCCTCCCACTATAATGTTACCTTATTCCAGGCCTCAACAGCCTCTTCACTGCTCTCCCCTGCCCGGTTCTTTTGCAAATCAGTCTACAATGCAGACAACAATGGTCTTTCCACCACCCACATTTTGACAAATTTCCTGTCTGAATCCCATCTTTCTGGATTCATCTCATCTCCAGTCCTACCACTGATTCAGTAGGTATTTACATCTAGATTGTGTGGAAAGTTGGGAGACACCAGAAAGCACAAACATACAAATCTTTGCTCGTCTTTATACTTTAGTAGCATCAAGATACTAGCTTTTAGAGCAAATGGAGTTTCCCTCTTCTATAGAAGGCCTTCTTTTCTGACCCAGAGGTAGAAGGGCTGTTGCTATCAGACCTGGGCCAACCTGGTTTTCACACTTCTATCTCCCAGGAGACTGGACACCCCTATAGGTAGCGACCCAGTGAGTCAATCTCGGACCTCCAGCATCAGGGACCAGAACCTGGTTATGAGGAAGGAAAAACTGAACCCAGAAACGTCTGATAAATAAATGCCGCTCTCCCTTTCCCCACAACACAAATGCTTCCAGGAAGGTTTCCATTTACTTACAAGAGTTCTGCCAGCTCCCCAACTTCCCCCACTAAGGCCAGGAGGAGGTTCCGAGGCTGGTGGAACTGGTCCCAGTCTCGTTCAGCAGCGAACTCGGCATGGAGGCGGCGGCTGGAATAGGACCAAAGGGATGGAAGTCGAGGGTCTCAGGGTCAGGGGTTGGGGGAGGAGACAGAGGCACAGCAGGTACCCCAGTGATATGTAATAGGGACACAAGCATCAGGTAGTCTATAACTAATTCCTGGACGGACTTATTTTTTCTCTATGGGATTGTTTTCTCATTAAAAAAAATGGTGTGCCCCTCCAAACGCTCTAGCCAAACGGTACCCTCTTCACCTGTTATGTTGTCCTAAACTCTACCTATCTTACAGAGTGCAGCTCCAAGACCACTTCCCCTTAAGAAGCCTTCCTAAATGTTCTCCCACTTGCCAGCACTTTATTTGCCTCTCTACTCCCATCCTCACCTCCACCTGGTGTGGCGCTGTGGGTTAATGCGCTGGACTACAAGGTCGGCTCTGATCCGTGTCAGCGATTCCTACCAGCCGCTCCTCGGAAACCCTATACAGGGTCGCTATGGGTCGGAACTGACTCGACAGCACTTAACAACAACTCCTACCCACTTTGGGAGATAAGGCAGTGTCCAACTACCTAATCTCGCCAAGGAGTGGTGTTAATACTAATCCCGGGCTATCGTCCAATTTCCTTTGCCTCTGATGTGCACTGCTACGCCCATTTTGCAGATGAGGTTTGAAGTTTCGCCCAACGCGACCACGTGGAGGGACTCCCCCAAAAGGAGGGGGAAAGAAAATGGTCTCCCCAGCCCGAGAAAGGCAAGAACGGCTTACATGTCCTCGAGGGTGGGCTCCGGGCTGAAGCTGAACGGGCCGGTAGCTACAGCACCCTCTCCTCCCGTCCCCTCACGCTCTTCCCCACCGACTCTTGCCATACTGCCCACTCTGCTGCACTCCAGAGTGCACGGTAAAACCCCGCGCCAAGAGCCGGCAGAGCCCCTGACCAATCACAGGCGTTCTTGAGTGCTTCATGGGGCGGAGCCAAAGGAAAGACCAATGACTTATATGATGTTTGCTGCAGCCCACCCCTTACCTCGCCTGGACCAATCTGAGGGAGCTCCAAGAGGGCATGTCTAGACAGGTGCTCGAATTCTTCCGCCTGGGCCAAGCATCTTAAAGATACAAGTACAGGAGAAAGAGACAAAGAAAGGGGAGAACGCAGGCGCACTACATCCCCTGTGAGCGCCAGATGGCGCCAAAGTGAAGTGGGAGGAGGACTTCTGTACAGAACTTAGAAATGAAGGTTTCCGTGGAGGACCCAGAAATGAAGAGTACTTGGGTCTCTTGGGGATTAGGCACACTGAGGATGCTATAGACCTGCCACCACATCATTTGGATAAGATTGAAGGAAAAGAGCGACTCAAGGTCAGATATACCAGGCCTTTAGTCCCATTTCAGCTTCCCACCCCAGCTGCTTCCTGTGTTTGGAAGGCGTTAGCCCTCTGCCCTGGAGTAAAGAGAGGAAAATTGACCCTTCTCCCTGCACTTTGTGTAGGTTACAGGACCCTGAACACAGGTCAGCCGTGATTTGTCCTCTACCCTCCTCTCCAGTCTCCTAAGTCACTATCTGACCACATAACCCACACAGCAGTAAAGCTTTCTTACGGTTCTCTAAAGACGCTAAATTCATTTATATTAGAGAATTTATGAAGTGGCGAATCATGGAATTGTTATTTCAAATCTGAGAACCACTGAGTTATTGACAATGAGAAGAACAGAGATAAAACTCAAGAACAGGTTTAGTGATACAATTATTTGTTTTGTCTACTAAGGAGCCCTGGTATGGCGCTGTGGGATAATGCACTGGACCTCAAGGTCGGTCAGAACAACAACACAAGAACAACATGGAGTCCTATTGTAGTGCAGTGGGTTAATGCGCTGGACTGCAAAGTCGTTTGTATCACAAGATCAGTGATTCAAGCTCACCAGCCACTCCTTGGAAACCCTATATGAAACAGACTCTTAACCCTATATGGAACAGACGGCACTTAACAACAACAATGAAGTCCTTAGTAGGGCTGTAAGATTAGCACTGAACTGCTAACAGCAAGGGTTTCCTCAGAAACCCTATACAGGGTGACTATGAGTTGTAGTCAACTCGATGGTACTTAACAGCAACAAAGCTCTTTAGAAAAGTCGGACATTTGGGACATCTTTAACCTCCACCTAATAGGGACAAGCCTCGTGCTGATCTTTCTGAAAAAAAAAAAATTACTCTTGTAATACCTAAGATAAAATAGTGCATATATACAAGTAGATGTAGACATGAAGTTCATTGCAGGCTTGTTTGTAATGGTAAAAAGTTAAAAACAAATGGCATTAATAGAAGAATGGGTACAAAAAGGTGTATTTATACAATTTAGGAGTTAAAATTGAATATGAGTAACAGAAACAACTTTGAACTGTGTCTTAGACTGGGTTCTCTTGAGAAACAAAACCGGTGCAATTTATGCATATATACATATAAAGAGACGTTTGTAGAGATAAGAGAGTTCCAAGTGCAAGTCAGGTGAACCAAGTTTGGCAAACTGGTCCAGAAGGCAGGAATCCCAAGTTGACGTACAGAACAGGAGCTCAGCACTGGAGCAGGGGCAGCAGCTGGTGACGGGTAATCAGGGCCTGGGCAGGTGCGCTGCAGAACCAGCAGTATGGAACACCAAGCCAGGGTAACAGGGACAGGCATGCAGGACCCTCCAATGGACGTCCGGTTTTCCAGACACACTCAGCAGGCAGACCCAGCAGGCAAACACACAATAGAGCAGGCTGCTGGCTTAGGTTCAAAGAACAGAGGTTGGAGGATGACCCAGATGTGAGATACAGAATCAGGGAGGAAAAGAGCAAGTCTTTCCTGCAGGTCCATTATGTTGGGAGCGGGCTGCACCCCCAAGGAAACATCCTTTCAATTGATTGGCTGCTCATAGCCAATCATCATAGAATTAACTATCAACTGTCAAACAATTGGAAATCCTGGTTTAATCAAGTTGACATAGAAACTTAGCTATCATTGTTTTAAGTAGGAAAGGATAATTTATTATCCTTGTTATTATATTATTATCCTTGTATCCTTATAAGGATACAAGATTGTCCTAGGATATAATTGGGTTTCAGGAATGAATTAGAACTAGAGTAACTGTTTAAAGCATTTTATATACCCATACAATCCTCATAGAAACCTAATCAAGTAATTAATACTAGGGGGACTAGGTATCATTGTGAGGGTTCCAGTTTTAAATTGCTGTTAAGTTCCGACTCATAGTGACCCTGTGTAGGATTTCCAAGGAGAAGGTGATGAATTTGAACCACTCAACTTATAGTCCAAACTGAGCTTGCAGTCCAGCACATTGACCCACAGCACCAAAGCAGGACTCCCCAGTTCTACATACATGGGTTTATTTCAAACAAGACATGTGTAAACAGGTCTGCTATCAATGGGTGGCTGCAGACAAGTTCTCTCAGTAAGAGGCTTGTCTTAGTTTCGTTGTTGTTAAGTGCCATTGAGTTGGTTAGGACTCAGTGATCCTGCATGAGATTTCCAAGGCTATAAATCTTTGTGGGAACAGAAACCTTCATCTTTCTCCTGAGGAGTGACTGGTGGGTTCGAACTGCTGACTTTGTAGTTTGCAGTACAGTGCTTATCCTACATATCCACTGTGCTACTTTAGTCTCATTGTTTTGTTATTATTAAGTGCTGTTGAGTCAGTTCCAGTGTAGTCCAGCGCATTACCCCACAGCACCCCTCAGTATAGGATGTCTAGGGAGAAGCTGGTGGGTTTGAACTGAAATGGAGGTACTAAGACCAGAGATGGGAGTTAGGCAGAGAAAGAAGATAATGCATTCAGTTTGGGACATGTTGAAACCAAGATGACACTAGGTAATTCCAGTGATGTCCAATACCAGATAGACATACAAGGTCTGAAGTCCAAAGCACTGTGCCGCCTTATGGATCTGGTAGCTGGACATTTAAACAGCCAACTATCTCCCCTAGCACCTTCCCTGGCTTTTCTGAGCTACAGTCAGAGTTGCAAAACAACCCCCCAAAAAACAAAAAACTAAGCTCTTCAGTTGGTACGTGCCATAGAGTCGGTTTCAACTTACAGGGATCCTGTAAAGGGTTTCTGAGACTGTAAACCTTTGAGGGAGCAGAAAGTCCCGTCTATCTGTGGAGCAGCTGGTGGGCTCAAACCACCAACTTTGTGGTTTGCAGTCCAGTGCTTAATTTATAGAGCCACCACTTACTGGAGTGTAAGATACCACTTGGAAAGCAAATTTCTCTGGAGTCCTCTGCATCTCAGGTTTGGAAGACTCAGGAACTAGGACTTCTAGAGGCCATAGCTCAGATGGGCCTTGGGATTTACAAGAAGAAGATGACATTTTCTTTGGGGCTGTCAATACCCTCCTCCCAGGAGATCCCTGGCTGAGCTGTAAGGTTCTTGGAAGGCATCTTGTAAAGCATCCAAGTTTTGGGCTCCATGGCATTATCTTATCAAATTCAGTTCCAGAACAGCCCAGAGTTGGAGTCCTGATGTGGTGTTGTAGGTGATGCACTGGACCGCAAGGTCAGTTTGAACTGCAAGGTCGGTGGTTCAAACTTACCAGTCGCTCCCAGGAAACCCTATACAGGGTCACTGTAGGACTCGATGGCATTTAACAACAGTAAACAAGGAGGGGAGAGGCCACCATGGGGGTGGGGAGAGGAAACAGAGCTGAATATGTGGACTTCTCCCCAAGACTCTTTCCTCTCTCTCACCACCACACTCAACCAGTCTTGCCAATTCTCTTGGCACATTTGGCAAGCTGATCCCCCTGCTTTAATCAGGGCCTCTGGTTCATGATTATTGTTCTTGCTAAGTGTCATCAAGTCATTCTCGACTCATAGCGACCCTATCTAGGGTTTCCAAGGAGTGGTTGGTGAGTTTGAACTATTGACCTTGTGGTTCGCAGTCCAGTGCTGATCCTACAGCGCCACACCAGGAATCCATCACCCCAGGAGACTGGGTGTCCTCTAGGCCTGCTATATACCTGCTAGTCTCTGAAACTTATAGTTGTTTAATGATAGGATAGACCAACTGGGATAGGCAAATATGCACAGGAACACACAACCTTCCCCACTAGAGTCAAGCTATGACTGGATTCTTTAGGAATTTCTGGAGTGGAGAGAGCTGCAACTGAAAAATGGAAACTGTGTGGCTATCTTATGACTCTTGGTTTCCCTGGCATACTATTATAAAAATAGACATTTGAGAAAGGAATAGCCAGAAATATCACCATAGAAAGCTTGTAAGTCCGTCTTCTGCCTATAACTGTTTGGAATACCTAAAATGGGGCTACAACATTCCCAGTGAAGGAGGCTTCCTGTGGAGCCTCTGCAATACATAAG